ATGATTGGCTAGAATAAATTACATTGGTAAGCCATCCACATCACAAGAAATGGACATGACATGGCAATTGATTCCCAAACAAGGGACACAAACCTAATTTCTATGAACTATTGATGTGGGAATACAATGACACAATATATTTCAATGTTTTTTTAAGATAAAAGCGGTTTTGCTATGAAGCCAACAGTTGGCTTCATAGTGGAGTCAACCTTCTATATATAACAAATAAACATACCATATTAACAAAGTTATATTAGTGTTATTTAAGTAATCGAAGAATATAGTAGGTCTACTCTCAATATAAAATCATATATATATTTATACTATGGAAAGTATAATATTATTACCTAATTACAAATACAAGATTTATTGTTCAATTGTATGAAGATAAAGTTTTTATACATAAACTAATGTAAGATGTGGCAATAAATGGAAGAAATGGGAAAAAAAAATAACTCATAGATTATATTCTCTTGTAATTTTTTGAGTTGGTGGTCATAGAATTTGTGTTAACAGAATTAATAAGTAATTAAATGTTGAGAGATAGTTTTTCAAAAGTATACAATTCATTGGATAATATTATTCAAATAAGTAATTTCTAATATGTAATTATTATATAGGTAATTAAATTTGTCATTTTCAAAAATCATTTTTTTTTATGCCATAATAATATTGACAATGTAGTATTACTTTAGACTTAAAATATAATCAGTTAGAATTTGTAGATATATATATCTAATTCACAAACTATTAACAACTTTCCAAAGTGTTTATTTAACCTAATTTTCAAAAGTTCATTATTAATTCAAAACAATAGGATATTAATACTTCAGAATTCACGAATTAACATAAGTTGACCTTCCAATTCTCATTTATTTAACCACTTAGCGTAAAAGTCAACTCATTTATATAATCCCCAAATTATTCACACAAACACAAATCGAACATATATAACTCAATAATTTGATTTTAGCAAATAAATAAATATATGCCGCCTCATTAGGTGCATGGTAAAAATTCAATTTTGGTCCTCTAACTTGTCCATTGTCCACTTTTGGTCCGCTAACTTGTCCCTCATCAAAATTGGTCCATTATGTTACATTTTTCATCAGTTTTAGTACACTAATCCAGTTGGCGGGATTACGAGATGATGTGGACCGGGATTGGAACTACGTGGAGGGATAAGATGTTGACGTGGTAGGATAAAAAACTGATTTGGCATCTCGTAATCACGGGCCATGGGATTAGCGTACTAAAACTGATGAAATGTGTAACATAATGGACTTTTTTTGATGTGGGACAAGTTAGTGTACCAAAAGTGGACAATGGACAATTTAGCAGACCAAAATTGGATTTTTGCCGGTGCAAATTCATAGTATTTTCACACATATAAATCCAATGAATTGGACTTCGAAATGTGGCATTGTTTAGGTTTCTGCACTTTTTAAATAATTTAAATCAAATCTTTGGATTTGATGTTTTTATTTAAGTATTTATGAGGCAAATTTTAAGGATTGTTTATCAAAACAGACAAATTTTTTAGGTGTTGAAATATGAAAAATTTCATATTAAGACAACTGGCCATTGACAAGGCTTATATCAAACTTTAGCAAAATGTTATTATTCTATTCTTTCACTGATTTATTTATTATCCAGAATTATTATTATTATTATTATTATTATTAGATTAGTTATGAATTAATATTTAATACTACTATTTTCATTTGTGTTATATAAAACCACTTAACATGCAT